TAAACACTTGCTCATTCCTGAACAATTGATATTCTTACTTACATGATCTATGCAAGTAGGATATTCTTCATTCCATGAGACGTAAGAAAGGAAAGGTGCCTCCAGATTATTTAAATAAAGCGGAGGTTAGATAAAATATTAAAATTAAAACTATTGTCTTAAGTGATAATATGACATAAAAATTAGATATTATATATTAGAAGCGTGTTAGAGATTTTTATCCACCTTTTATTAATAAATTTTATACATTAGGATGAATATTCCAGCAAGTTAAAAAGATTTGTAACTGTGATTTCGGGTAGACTATCATACAGTGAGCTTCTTCAATGGGCTACTTACATGAAATCAGAAGACATTAACCTCAGAACTAGAGGGGAACAAACACTTTATTCAATTTGGACCGACATTTTTCCTGATGATAGAACACCAGGAGTAAGTTGGTTAATCTACTTTTCATTCTTACACGCTGGAAATATCAAATATTACTATCATCTATATATTTTCTAGATACATATGTGGGATTATGCAAAACGTGGAGTAGAGTTATATAAGAATGTAGAATTAAACGCGTTTGATGAAAACCTTGTGGATTTCATAAATGTTTGTTATGACATCGAAAAGTTTCGAGAACAATGGGTAATTATATCAATTTAATAGGTTTTTTTTTACTTTTTTTTGTGAAAATTTGCTTATTCATTTAAAAAAAAAAAAAAAAAGAAAAATGTCATTCAGCAAGATTCTTCTCAAGTTTTATATCCACTTTATTCTCAACAATTCTCGACACCTAATAATTCTTCTGTCCGCCCTCAATTTTCGAGTCAACCTAGTCAACCTTCAACGTCCACATCGTCCATTCGTCCTTCTAGACGGGTGAGTCCTCAGATTTATAATATATTTGATTATAAGTAATATCTCCATATTTTAATGGTTATTTTTTGTTGATCAAAGGTTCAACCTATTAGTCTGGTAAATTCATTTTATTTTATTTTTGCAAATACTTTACAATTTAAAATTATTGCATGCTTTTATCCGTAAATTTATTTATCTATTTATTTTTTTAAAAACAAGGGCAAGAGAATTCAAGAACTTACTTTACCGAATACGATAATGCAGATTAATTGTCCTGAACAGGTATTATTATATATAAGCAGTTGCGTTTATTACGAATAACTATTTACTAATATACTTAAATAGGAAATAAAATTTTTTGAAAAAATTGCTGATAATAAAATGGACAACTTTTGCCTTAACTTATGGGTTAAAAATGTGTTTAGTGCCGTTCCTAAAATGCAACATTATGCTCATGTATATTTAATTTTGGCATGGAATGAAGAATATCCTACTTGCATAGATCATGTAAGTAAGAATATCAATTGTTCAGGAATGAGCAAGTGTTTA